GGATTCACAAAACCACGCGGGCAGAGCAGGTTGAGATTGTTGGGTGAGAGGGAAGGCATAGGTACCACGTTGTACTTAGTGAGGGAAGTAGCTAGTATTTGAATCTCCCTGCAGGCAGTAAACTGGAGGTTAGCAGGGACCAGATCTTCCTGCTCAACTGCTGTGACCTCTGCTCCGCTCAGAGGCGGCATCTAGTAGGCGCTTGAAGACTTGAAATCGGTGAATAAGTGAAATCAAAGCCGGCAAACAGAATGAAAGATATTTATTTATATAAAAGCTCAGTGGACCTCATTAATGCCAGTCAGGTCATGCCTGATATTGTGAGTACTATTCCATTATTGATCAATAATCATGTTTTAAAACTTACCGTGGTAACAAAATGATTTTGTAGGTCAACGTTGACAGCTTTCTAGTGTTTAGGGGACTATTTATCCAAGCTCCTTAATGTTGCAGTTCATTCTTTCTGTTGCTAAGTTAGCTATAATTTATTGGCAGGGCCACCAGGAGGCCATAAAGGACCTTTGTGAAATTGGAGAAAGGTGCCCTCCCCAGCCCTGACACACGCAGCCTTGCAGGTGCACAAAGGCTGGAGTTCAGTCCTCCCTCAGCCCTCTGCAGGACACCTTGTGTAGTGAGAAATCTGCACCCGCATGGCTGTTGCTGCCCTCAGCTTACCAAGCAGGTACTGAGCACCTGCTCACGTCACACACCATGTTGGGGACCTACGCACATTATCACCTCAGTCAGTTCTCTGAAGAGGCCTGAAAGGCAACTGTCATATCCCCATTTTGCAGATAAGGAAACTGAGGTCTAGAGGGGTTAGGAACTTGTCCAGATCGCACCACCAAATAAATGGTGGAATCAGGAGTCACATCCAACGTCAGAACAGTCTGGAATGCACTGGGTTAAACGAATCCAGAAATTGTAGTTGCCTCAGCAGCTGAGGATAAAAATCTTCTGAAGGATAGAAATCTAGTGCCTGAAGGGAAGTGTTTGTGGTGACTAAAGACTTCAGTGGTTTGAAACTACCATTTGTTTTCAAACTTTTCATTTATTTACTCCAATCTCTTTATTTCTGAATAAGCTTAGAGAAGGGTACCGGTATCGGAATGAATGAAATTGCTTTACTTTTCTGTTTGTCCACCATCATCTCTTCCCTGCTAGTGCCATCAGGTGAGGTCTAATGCCAGTGATGGCTAACGTGATTGTCACTTGGTGGAGCCATTCACTGAGCTAGTGCTTTCCACTAGCAAGATGACGCATGGAATCCTCACGGCAACTCTGCTAATACTGTTCCCGCTTTACAAGGAAACTGAGGCACAAAGAGCCGTCATCAGGCTAGTGAGTGCAGGAATTGGGACTCAGACGCATTACATTACGGGTGTTGTTTTCAAGGTCATATGATCTCCGTCCTCTCTTTTAGAACAGATTACCCTCTTCTTTCACATAGAGAAAGAACTTTTGGGCTCTTAGTTAAGAATTGTGACCTCCAAAATACAGTCATTTCAAAATTCAAGCAGAACACGGTTAATCAATATAAATACAAAATGAATGTCACTACCCTGAGAGCATCCTCTCTCTCTCTCCCCTTTATTTTTGGTGATCATTTTATTTATTTCTTTTTTCCTCTAAGTTATTAAATTCCAGCTAGTTAACATACAGTGCAATGTTAGATTAAGGTGTGGAATTCAGTGATTCATCACTTACATACAACACTCAGTGCTCATCCCAACAAGTGCGCTCCTCAATACCCATCACCTGTTTAACCCATCCCCCCCACATCTCCTCCAGTAATCATCAGTTTATTCTTTATAGTTAATATTTGGTGATCATTTTAAAGATGTTTTTTCTCCTTTGGGCTACCTTAGGAAAATATTAGAGACAGTGACATTCTTCTGTAATATTTCCCAGTTTGGTTGACAATATTCAGGTTGTATTATAAAAATATTATATGTCGAGGACATTTGCCTCTTTCAAGTTTATCCGTAAGATTAGTAAAAGTACCTAAGAATGAAAATTGACACTGTGATCACAGTCATGAATGTTCTAGTTATATGGCAAAAATTGATAGATCACTTGTGACACTCTTTGTGGATAAGTAACTTTTCACAAAGCTTTTGGTTTTGGAGATAAAAACTTGACTTAGTCCAATAGCATAATATGTCTTTCAAAATATAAAATTGAGTGACTTTGTTTTGGGTGTGTTGTCACATCCCCCACAGCTTTCTGCTCTAGAAGAATGATGCCTCTGGAATGTACCCACAGCTGCCACAGCTGGATGAAAGTCATTCGTCTCATTTAGCTGACGGTACTAATCACTGTAATAACTATTTTACCAGCAAATATAATTTGGCAGACATCTGTGATTAGTATATTAACACATTTCCTTGTTAATTCCCTAAGGCGACCATCACCAAAACATCCCTTGCGTGATCTAAATGAATGTCATAATGAGTTTCTTTATAGGCCTGAGAAATCACATTTGTTAAGTTGCCTAAAGGGCTACTAATTTGAAAGCTTCATTCATGGTGAGGCCTGAGGGAGAGCCAAAAGATAGCCCTGTTCTGACATATGACCCCCCGGGGCCCACCGCCAGGGCCCAGAATCTCCCCCAGTCCTTCCCAAACTGCCGCTCCAAGCGTCAGCTTGAATTACTCTCCACCCAGGGCTTCAAACCCAGTACCCAGAGGCAGGGTGGGAAATGGTTTGATGTGAACAAATGTATTAAAAAGAGAAACAGGGGCACCTAGGTGGCTCAGTCAGTTAAGCGTCTGCCTTCAGCTCTGGTCATGATCTCAGGGTCCTGGGATCAAGCCCCACATTGGGCTCTCTGCTCAGCAGGAATCTGCTTCTCCCTCTGACCCAACCCTCTCGTGCTCACTCTCACTCACTCTTTCTCAAATAAATAAAATCTTTAAAAATAAATAGAATCAGTTGGCAGTATATTAATGATAATACACAAACTAAGGAAGTGAAGAACTATGACAATTATTAACTCAGGGAGAAACGAAAAATAATTTACACAAAGTAATAGCTTACTGTTTGGCTCAGGTTCTCCTAGCAGACATATTCGTTCATTCGAGGGATATGTACCTGGATATTGATTTATCCAAATTACAACACAGTTCCTATTTTCAATGATTGCTAATATACAATTGCTGAATTGAAAGGAAATGTGAATGTGTAAAGGGAAAGGTGGGGGGTGACAGAGGTGGGAGAAGGAGGAGCCCAAGTCTTTATTTTTCATAGCAGGAGTGAACTGAAATGCCCCAACTAAGAGATCATGAAGTAGCAATTTGCTTAGAGATACAGAAGAAAACTATCCCTCCAAAACAGCTAAATGAATTAAGATACTTGCCCCTAGGGAAGGGGAGATGGGAGAGGAGATCCGAGTATTAGCTGAGCATCTTACATTTGATAAGCAAGATGTATGTACACATATATAACTGAGGTGGGGGGTAAAACTTAGGGAAAAAATAATTAAAAAAGAAACAAAAAGAGAAACAATCTTCAGGGAAAAAAAGGTAGAAGTATATCACCTAGAGGCCCATTTTAACATGTTGGTTTATTTTCTCCCAGTTATTTTCACCCTCTGTTTGTGATTGTCTTTCTCTTCCTCCCTCTTTCCCTTCCAGTGATCAACATTGCTGTAATCATAAAATGGATAGTGACTTACTGAGCCCTTAGGTGCACAGCAGACCTTGTGTCAGTACACATTTTATATGCATCATTTCATTTGATTAACCCAACTGTGCGTCCTGATATTTTAACTTCTATCATAATTATGTTCTTATATTAGCATATGGTCTTCATAATCATCTTTTTTCATGGTACGAGAATATTCCATCCAGCAGAATATGTATCTTTTCCCCAAATTATTAGACTTTAGTTTGCCAGCTCTTACTGTTATAAAGAATACTGAGATGATATACTTTGTCCTAAAGCTTTTTCCTGACATGTATGCTTAAAGAGTAGAATCATGTTGCCCAGTGGCTTGTCTTAAACTGTCTAGGGCACTGTCACATTCAGTGTCTAATGTGATGCCTCGTGTGGCTCGGAGACAGGTAGCAGAGAGAGATGCACTGCCGTTTTACAGACGAGATACTTAGAAGCTAAGTCTTTGAGGTCACACAGCTGGAGGAAGAGTCAGAATTAAAATGCATGGTTCCCAACTCTTTCTTGGTTTCTGCCCCCACCCTCCCACCCCAGTGAAATGAAACCCAGGATGAGCTGTCCCTGTACTTTCCTTCCCGCACATGTTGGTCTTCACCTAGTGGAGCTTCTCTGCCATGGGGCCCTGTCCTTTCACCGAGGGCCATTTCTGCTTCAGGATAAAGTAAGACCTCTCTAGCAGCCCAAAACCACACTTCTTCTGAAATCTTCCACCAGGGCTAAGGAGGAGAAAGGGCAAGAAGGGGAAATAACAGGACAAACCAAAGTGCAATGTGCTTACTTAGAAAATGGGGCAGGAACCGGGAGAAGGTGTCTGAGGAGCAAACAAGAAAATATTGTGGTTTGGGAGGACCTTAATGCTTAAGATAAGGTGTTTGAGCTGAAGACAGTAAAGAAGTATGACTTAGGACGTCTTAGGGTCATGTTACGGCCTTTCTTTACTCAATTGTATGCAGGACTTTCTTGAATGTTAAATCTTTTTTTTTTTTAGAAGATTTTATTTTATTTATTTATTTATTTATTTATTTATTTATTTATTTATTTATGGGGGGGCAGAGGGAGAGGGTGAGACAGAGAATCTCAAGCAGACTCCACTGAGCACAGATCCCAACATGGGGTTCTATCCCACAACCCAAGACCATGACCTGAGCCAAACCCAAGAGTTGGATGCTTAACCGACTGAGCCACCCGGGCGCGCCTGAATCTATTTCTTGATGGTGATATATTTTCTCAGGCTAGAAACTAACCAACAATTTGATTTTTTTTCTTTCTCTTTTTCAAATGAATGATCAACAAGTAATTTTAAATATGTACTTTTTTAACCACAGAAGAAAGTGAGTCCTGCTTTGCCCAACCCAGACCACATACACTGGGAAAAGGATCTACTCTTTATGGCAAGGTACAAAAGGAAAGTCCTCCGCCCCTCGAGAAGCTCAAGATCGCAGCAGTGTCTACAGCTAATGGTGTTAAATCCCTCCATGAACAGCCCCTAGCAAACGATACTGCAGATCCACCAGGATCCACAGAAGAGACTCAGCCTCTAGACAGACCTGAGGAGTCTGGGCCACCTCAGCCAGGTGGTGAAGATGATACTCCAGGTACAGGAGAAAAGAAGAAAGACATGGTAGCAATGACAGAGGCTCAGCCTTTAAAAGGAAATGCTGAGACTGAATCTGTAGGAACAGACACCAAGGATCAGCCTTTGAGGACCACAGGAGAGAGGGACTCTCCGGGAGCAGTGGACGGTACTGAGAATCCACAAACGGCCAGAGAGATGAAACCTCTAGGAACAGCTGAGAAAATCCCTCCTCTGGAAGCAGCTAGAAAGCCACAACCTCAAGAAGCAATGGGAAAGGGTGAACAGACCCAACTCCCAGAAACAGTTCCCAAGGAGAATGAATCTCCAGAAGTATTGGAAGGAAGTCAGTTTGTGAAAACAGCTGAAGAGTGGCAACTTCAAGAAACATTGGGAGAAGATGAGCGGTCCCAACCTGTCGAAACCATTCCCAAAGAGAATGAAACACCGGAAGTATTGGAAGGAAGTCGGTTTATGGGAACAGCTGTAAACAATTATTTGCTCCATAAAACTCCTGAAGGTCCCGGAAGCATGGAGCAGATTCAACCTGAAGGAATAATAGTTGGAAGCATAGAGCATCTGGCAGGAATTCTAGAAATAGGAGCAAATATTGAAATGGTCAGGAAAAATCACACTAACGAAGAGGACCAGCACATTGAAGGTAAAAGTTATGCTGGTTGTTTAGATGTGCTGCATAAGAAATCATCCCTGGGGATCTCTATTTCAGGTGGTTGAACTTCATTTGACCCAAACCAAAAAGGCTTCCCTACCTGGAAAACAGGCTTTTGGCTTGGCTTTCCAGCAGAACTTTTCTACATTTGATCTTAGCCAAATGGCTGAGAAGCGATCCAGCAAAAATTTTCTAAAACATAGTCTGTGTCCAAAATTTTTAACCTGGAGCTGTCATTGTTGAATACAATTGGATGTTGAAGGCACGTGTTAAAAGTTCTGAATTTTTCCAAGTTCACTTTTCATCAGGCCCCATGTATGGTATTAGGATCCAAAGTAGAGATGAATAGGTGGCTAATGGAGGAACTCACCTTCTAATGAATGAATACCCAGCTAATGGATCTTACAGGGCAATTTTCATCTTTGCCAATCTATCCTAGGAAAAAATTACTGTCAGTCCGCTCCTGTCCTCCGACTGGCTTCTTGTCTCTATGAGAAGACTTAGAGACAATGTATTACTTTTTGGCATATGTGTTTTTAAAATGTACTTTACCAGCATAAAAAATGGTGTCTATACTGTTCTTTCTTGGAGTTATAATTTTAAAAAAATAACATTTCTTTTGGGACGTGATTTATATTTTGGTAAATTTTAGCTTCATACTAAGTTCATACTAAGTTCATACTAAGTTCATACTAACTTCATAGCTTCATAAGTCAAGCATTCATCCGTTTCTTAATTCATTTATGACCACAGCAGTTTTTGAATGCCAGTCATATGCCAAGTGTGTGGGGGGGAGGGCGTGTAGGAGTAAGAGATAGGCCCTGTTCTCCAGGGGCTCATAGTCTGGTGGGAAGAAGGCAGAATTTAAACAAATTACCACAGTCTATTGAGGTAAGAATTTTAATGAAGGTGTATAAAAGTGCTCCAGGAATAACAAGGGAGGAGCAAGTAAAAGCATGTATTTGTTGGACTAGGGTTAGCAAACTCAAGTCATTAGAGCCTAGGATAATGATAGTGAGTCAAGTGAAGGACACATGTTATGTCTTGGGGAGTCCTGGGGACTGTAGTGAACAGGTACACCATCCTGTCAAAAGAGGCAGCTGCTTCTTGGCTCCATCTATGAGCATGGGGGCCAGTGTTGCCCATACTGACTTCTTAGGGAGACAGATTTGTGTCTACAACGTCCAGACTTTTATTTATTTATTTTTTCAGATTTTTAAATGTTTGCAATCTTTAAATGTTTAATGATTGTTTTCTTTAAACACCATCATGGCCCAACAAAATAGGTTTCTGGGCATGCCTAGACCACCTTTTCATTTAAATATAAAGGGAACTTTTTATTTATAATATGTTCTGCTCTCATTTCTTGGGTAATTCTGCAGCCTGATTTTATATAGGGGGATGCCAAGATAGGAGATGTGAAGTGACATTGGCCATTCAGAGGATCTGAGAGAATCAGGGCAATTGCCTTTCTTGACCCCACCAGAGAAACTTACTAATTAGACCTAGAGAGCAGGAACTGCCCCATTGGAAACCAGCTGTCGGGTACTTTATTGTTAATGCCAAATGAGCATCTCATAATGTCTCCTTTGCTTACTTTTCCAGGTGAGACAGGAGAAAAAGTTGAAACAGAGATGGAGAATGAGAAAGGAAGTGAAGGGCCTGGAACAAAAGAAGAAGAAACAGGGGAAGCTGTGGATCTTTCAGCAGCCACATAGATTGGCATGGTTGTAGAAGGATGAACGGACAGTGTGTTGTAACAGAAAAATGGAGTGAAGTGTGTGGGTACAGATCTTATCTTTCAGTGTCTATGCATTTTATACGAAGAGTATGGTTATCATGTTCTTGATTACGTTGTTCCATAAAACCGCTAGGCTGTAAACAGTTTTCTTAGACACTTAGAATAGTAATACATTCAGACCTGCAGCTGCCACAGCCGATAACAAGTAGGGTATAGGATCCCCGGAGGGTGAGGGTGTTTTCTTCATTGTGGTAATAGGTCTATTCAGTTTAGAAAATGAGACCCTAAAAAGAAGGTATAAACCTTAGATATAGGTGGAGAAAAGAGTTAGCACATTTTAGGGAGCTCATGATGATAAGGTTGCACAGTTATAATTACAATGGGATAAGAATGAACAACAATGTCAGGCTAAACTATACCTAATGTTTCTTTCCTGTTGCAGAATTTAAAGCTGGTAGGAACCTTGGAAAGTGTGTCCATCTAGTTACCTGCTCACCTTGAATCTGTCTACTGCCTTAGACTCTTATTTATCATGATGTGTTAAATGTGTTAACAAAATCCTTGTCAAAGGAATGCAATCTCTGGTGCTATTGCAAAATCAGGTGTTTCTACACTGAAAGGCTATACATTTTCCATGTGCCATTTTGAATTAGCTGTTGATTTTGCACTTACGTGAAGAGTTTCAACTGGTGTTATCCTTTTGACTGACATTAAACGTATTTTAAATAAATTGACTTTTGGGGTGCCTGGGTGGCTCAGTTGGTAAGCGTCTGCTTTCGGTTCAGGTCATGATCTCAGTTCAGGGTCCTGGGATCGAGCCCCACGTTGTGCTCCCTGCTCGGCAGGAAGCCTGCTTCTCCCTCTCCCACTCCCCCTGCTTGTGTTCCTGCTCTCGCTGTGTCTCTCTTTGTCAAATAAATAAATAAAATCTTAAAAAAAAAATTGACTTTTAAATGTATTTCAGAGGCAATAAACAATAGGAATTAAAACCTAGATTAGTGAGGCGCCTGGGTGGCTCAGTCGGTTAAGCGTCCTACTCTTGATTTTGGCTCAGGTCATGATCTCAGGATTGTAAGATTGAGCCCTGATTGGGGCTCTAGATGCTGAGCTTAGAGTCTGCTTCAGAGTCTCTCTCTCCCTCTCCTCCTGCCCCTCCCCACTGCACCCCTGCACGTGCTCTGTGCATGCTCTCTCTCTAAAAACAAACAAAACACCTAGATTAGTTGCCTGTGTGAAGTTTATTCCTTGGGTCTTGTTTATGGTTTTTGTTGTTTGTTTTTAATTTATTGTGGTTTAATGTTAGGCTTTAGAGGCAGAAAGAATCTAAGAAATTAGAATTTAAAAACCATTTATAATATTTCATTAATGTTAAAATGATGCACCATTGAAAGTTACTTTTTAAAAATTCTTCCAAAATTGCCAAGGGATTCTGGTGAAAGATCATACATGAATGGTAATGATGATAGCAATCTTGTCCACCATTCGGTGCCTTGTGTTTATGAATATCAGGATAGAATTATATTCTGGAAACATTTGGTGTCTTTTCTTATTTGTAAATATCTATTTTAAAGGTAACTGTTCAGATGAATTAACTAGACTCTTACTTTAGCTTTTATATTAAAATGACTACTAAGATGACTTGTAATTAATTTCAAGAATATAGGATACAGGGAAAAATTATCATCTTTATTCTGATTTTCATATTAGTTTATGTTTCTGGCTTTAAAGCGTTGAAGTAGACAGCAAGAGGAGGTCTGTGAGTAGATGACATCTTCCTTTCTGCAGAGCGGCTGGATTGTGATTTTATTGAGAGCAAGGACCGTTTTATGTATCTTTAATTCAGGCATTTAGCTCCTTTAGTGGAACATGAAACGTGCTTGATAAATATTTGTCAAATCAATAAATGAATAATGAATACCAAGGGCTCCCATATACGTTTAATTCTTTAAAAAAGAATAGATTTACAATATCAGTTTGTGTAACACTAACTTTTTCATGAGGGCTGCTCAAGCTCAGTAACAAGCTTTATATTTGGTGTAGTTCTGAAAACACTATTTTGTGGCTAGGGAGTTAAATAAATGAGAACTGGTATAATATCTTTCAAGCTGCCTTTTGTAATCCAAAGGTGTTTTCCCTGACCAAAAGGTATTTTTATACAGATATCTAGTAAGTAGAAAATGATAGAGTTTAGTATAAAATATGAATGATGGTCTTAAAAAGGATCTTGTACTTTGTGTCAAGTATAGAAATAGTGGGATTCACTTACTTAATAGACATAAAGGTCCATCCTCTGTTGTGTGGATTTTTTTTTTTAATCAGTAGCATGTGTTAAAAGAGACCTATTCAGAACCGATTCTTGGAAGAACTCTGTCTCAAAGGCATTATTAGAGAGTTGTAATGTAAGTTTTCAAATTGTTTATGAATCTTGGCATTTTCCATTAATTACTAAAATAATTTTATAGATTTTGGAAATTTGTGTAAATTTCTGGTACTTTTTATACTTTGGCCTTTAATGTGGCTACTAAGACATTTTTAGAAACTGTTCTTATTCTTACAGATAATATTAATAATTTTTATTCAAAACCTATAATTTAAATGTTCCATAATATGTGAATATTCTAGAATTGAAATATTTCATCTAAATAATTACTTATTTTAAAAAATAAATAAGTGCCTGTAGTAAAACTCAATACAGAAAAGTATGAAATGGGCAGTGAAGTTCTCCCTCCCATATCTTTTAGTCCTTCCATGAAAAGATAATAAGGTTTCTTGCATATACTTCCACAAGAATGTAATATATATGCCATACTTTATGAATATGCTAAAACATAAGTGTATACTTACATATCCACATTTTAAAACACAAATGAGAATTTACATAGCCCTTGTGTTGTGAAAAGTGCATGTAAAACCACTAATCCATCCTTTCCTGTGTTAGAATTTTTCTCTTTTGCCAAGACTGACAGGCAGCATAGCCAAGTGCATTCTGTTTCGAAGTGCTCACTCTGAGCAGAGATAATCAGTTTTGCCCCAGATTCAAAATACAGAAGTTGGACAAAAGCCTTGAGCTGTTTTTAATGAATTAATAAGAGAAACTATCACTGGGGGTGGATTCTCTCATCCTGGGGTGCTATGTATAGCCCCAGGATTGTAGCCCTGTTTGTGTTCTACTAAGATAATTTCAGTATTTTCTACAAGTAAGTGGGAGGGAAATGGTGAACAAATGATTTGCCAGCTAGCAACCCCAGTAGGGAGTGAATGTTTGCATTTACCAACAGAGGGTGCCAGTTGCAAAGCTCAGAAACTCACAGTCTGACTCCACAACTCTCGGCCAGAAGTGCTGTGTAGCCAGTCCCCCGGGGGGGACCTGTGATCTTGCTGCCTTTTCCATTTTAACTTTGGAGCAAGAACTCCTAACCTAGCTTGGAGGAGTCAAAACCCCCATATCCCTCTTAAATGCTTTGTTCCACACTTGGCCTTGAATTAAGAATAAGAATGGCTTTAAAAGGAAATGTTTTTTCCACATTTAACTCATCCAAGAGCATTGGATAATCATGGCCAAATAACTGATAGGGTTTGTATTCTGTGCTCTTGAGGAAACCACAGAAGCTTACTAGAGCACCTAACATTACAAACATCTCATTTTTAGAAAGATGATTCGGTGACCAGTTGTGAATTGTTTCACAGATGCCAGCAATGTGAACATCATAAAGCCATTCATTAGCTCGCCCACATTAGTAAGGTAAAGGGAGAGTGATCCTCTTTTTCTCTCCCCCACACCAAATAGTCAGGCATGGCTGTGTCTGAAAAGTCGAAAGCATTTGCTCACAAGATACCATTTAATCTAAAACTCTGTCAGCTCCTCTCTTCCTCAGAGTTTATAAAGTTGATGAGCATTTGGTTATACTTGCAAGGTTTTAATTACAGAAACAGAATCAGTGTAATCCTAGAGAGCCTCTCATAGGGATGGAATTTCTCTTTTCAGTTGTTACTATCAACAAAAGCTAGGGAACTGCCTGGGATTACTAATCCATGTAGAATCAAATTGGAGGCCATTAGCTTTATTTCAGTAATACCACTCAGCAAACTTACTGGACAGTATATGAGATACTGTAACTTCACACCTGTATCATTATTTCTATGGCTAATGAAGTCTCCAGACATCAAAGCCAGGCTTTAATGCCTTTTGAAAGTAGAAGAAGGGTACGCCTTCAGTTTAATAATGTGCTATATCCCACATGAATAAACATGCTCTTTCTACCCACTACTGGGGAGAGAGATCAGCAAGCCTCACCAGTTTCCAGAAAAAGAGTTCTGAGAAACCGGTTAGCGATACTAATTTTTTTAAAACTGAAGTATAGTTGACAAACATAGGGATGTTAACTTTGGTTTGAAATCTGCCTCATTATTTTTTCTTGTACAACATAGATGCTTCTCAAATTTTTCTTAATAAAAGTAGCAAAATATCATTCGTGCTATTATATAAATTTATGAAAAAAGTAATGCATATTATATTGACTTGATTTATGCAACCCTATTCCAAACATTTAAAAAGAATTATTCAAGGACAAGAACAGAAGCTTTCTATGGCAGCTGAACTGTTGGAGAGGGGCTTTGGGTTGGGAGAAGTTTCAGCCCCAGTGCCAAGTAAGAAGTCACAAGGCCCACAAGGTGACAAGTCACAAGGTGACTTTTCTGACCATCACCACACTCCCAACAGTTCAGTGAGGGGGCAATTTAAACTATCGATAGTAGGTATTTAGTGGATCAGCACAGATTTGCTTCATGCTTTCTGGATATTCGAGTTTTGTTAAAAAAGTGTTTTTGGTAAAAATAACACTGGCATTGTCTAGGTACTTGAATGTGACACAGTGATCATTTAGGTGATAATTACAAGGAAGGATTTATTATTAAAATAATCACTTTTTTCTTAGTATGAAACGAATACATGTTCATGGTAGAAATCAGAAAATACAAACTTTAAGAGATGAAATCTAAATGTTACACGTAACTAGATAGGAGGGCTTCTTTTTCCTTTTAGTGTTACAATACAAAGTTAGCCAAAGCTCAACTGTTAATAGAACTTTAAGTCTATTGAACGGCTGAGTGCAGCATTTCTGGGTTTTCCTCATTGGACTCTATGGGGAATAATAGGTTTTAGAGAATGTTCCAACAATCCTTGCTATGTTGGTAAATATTGATTAGTGCTATAGGGAGAGAAGCTGTGACCAAGTATATTAACACTTAGCTGACCACAATTTATGATAATTTTTTGATATCTTAGGGAAAAACATTGAGACTTAATATTTTATTTGGAATTACTTTTAATACTAACTGCTAACCAAATGTTAGAGAAAAGACTGTAAGCTCTTTAGTGGGCAGGGAAGATGCCCTACTGAGCCTAGTATAAATTTGGCACTCAGTAAATATTTGTTGATGACCAATGGTCTTTATTCTTATATAATCTTGATAATTTCCTCAGAACTGAATATAATTGGCTGTAGAGGAAAATATGGCCAAAATTCTTATAGAATTATTTTGTACTGCTGGTTCAATATTTACAATTCTGATTGAATATGTTATTAGAAATAAAGTGAAAGTTTTTTGTGGTGTATTTTCTATCTGAATTTTTATTACAGAAGATACAAATTACTTTTGACTCATCGTGTCCTTCCGTAAGAAAAGTGTTCTTTAAATTACACCCTCTGTGAAAGGTAAGGAATCTGACAATAGCATGGAAAGATGGGTGACTTCTTTTAGATACTTCATGATCATTTAGTGATAACACACTTGCTATTTCTGTATGTTTGAAAGACTAACATGAAATAAATGTTCTTTCTCACAAAATCTAGTGATTCTCCTTCAGTGTGGAAAGAAGACTCAACATCCCAACCCAGCCACTAACAAGTTGGATTAACTTGGGTACAAGCATTTTATTTCCAGCTCTTTTATTCTAGGGTTTGAATTTGAAGCCATGACCTATTTATAACTATGCCCCTCAGACCCAAGCTGGCCTGAGTGTCTAATTTCTTGGCCACAGTGATTGGTTTAAGAATGGGCCCCTAACCTGAGCTGGACCAATCAGAGCCTTCTCTGGGAAGCTCCTGCCAGAGATACCAGAAAATGTCTTAGTGCTGGGATTAGGGCCTTAGGGGTCTGTATGTCTGGGCCTGCAGCTACTTCCCCTAAGAGACAGGGGAGCCAGGAAGTTTCTGGAGTGCAAATGGGTAAATAAAGCCAGTGGTACTCTGGACTTCTCTGCTATACAAGCCTATGAATTCCTTTCTTTCCACTTATACTAGTTTGAGTTGGGTTTCTGTCACAAGCAAGAGTCTTGATAGTAAAAGTAGAAAGAGGTGGTTTATAAATGAGCTGGAGAAAATATTAAATGTAACAGCAGAAATTAATGATAATGAAAAGATATACTAGGGAGGAACAACAGAGCCCCAAACAATTTTGTACAAAGATTAGGAAAACTGATAAACTTCTGGGCAAGACTGATTAAAAAAAAAACTCAGAAGCCCAAATAAACCATATTAGATGAAAAGGCACAGATTCAAGAGATTGAAAAAATGCCTACAAATGTGAAAATTAAGATGAAGTGTGCAAATTCCACAATGTCAGGAGTTTACAATTTTTCCCCAAAGAAAATTACCAAGCCCAAACTGTTTAATAGGTAAATTCTATCAAACGTTCAAGGATAGATGTTCACAACCATAAGATCCTCCACAGGAGGGAAAAGCCAGTCTTACAGATGAACATAAATGTAAAGATCCTAAACAAAATGTTATCGCTCTAAATTTGAGGGTATAAAACATGTACATTATAAATATATATGTGTGAGTATATATAATAGACACATATATTGACCAAGTTGAATTATTCTAGGAGAGGTTGGTTCTACGTTATAAAAAATTGACCAGTTGTATTTAACCATATTAGCAAGGTGAATGAGAACAATCTTATGATGATGTCATAGATACAGAAAAAATTCAATTTCAACCACCATTTTGAACTCTAGTGTGACCTCAGTGAGGCCTTCCCTCCCTGCTGACCTTTTTAAACTTGTAATCCCCAACACTCTCCAACTCCCCTTGCTTTAGTTTTCCCTATAGCTCTTCACATTCTAACATAATTTTTTGTTTTAACTTTTTTAAAAATTGTGGTAAAACATAAATAACAAAATTTACCCTTTTAACTATTCTTAGGCATATAATCCAGTGAATTAAATACATTCACAATGTTGTGTAACTATCACCTATTTCCAAAACTCTTTCATCACTCGCTGCGGGAACCATGAAGCAAGAGCTCCCACTACCCTCCACCTGACCCTTGGTAACCTCTACTCAGTCTGTCACTATGAATTTGCCTAATATATAATTTACCATTTTTCTTATTGTCTGTTCACTAGAAGTTAAGCTCCCTGAGGACAAAAATTTTGGGCTCCTTATTTCAAAACTGACAGCACTCTTGACAATATCTGGCTTATTAAATATTCATGGAAGGAAGGAGGGAGGGAAGGACTTTTAGCAAAGTAGGCCTAGAAGGAAACCTTGATCTAGTAAAAGGAGTATATTAACAATCCTATAGCATCACACTCAACAGTGAAATGTTAAAGACATTCCTTTAAAAACAAAACACAATGCAAGTGATTTCACTTTCATTTTACTTCAGAAACTTGGAAAGGAAAACATTTTGCTTAATGACTCAAACATATACAAAAAGAAATGATAAATGCAAAATTCAGGATATTGGTTTCCTGAGACACATGGGAAGTGGACAGGATTGGAGCATCATTATCAGGTCTTCTGCAGTAGGAATATTTTTCTCGAACTGTGTGGTGGAAGCATGCGTGGTCAATATTCCTGTGTATCTACTCAGTATTAAAAGATATTTAAAAAAATTTGAACCATAATATTGAGTGAAAAAAGCAAGTCAAAGACATTCAGTATATTATTAATATAAAATTCAAAATCAGGCAAAAGTAAATGATCATTTGTATGCCTAACTTCTATGTGGCCAAACTAAAAAGCAAAAGAAGAATGATTAACATAAAATTTAGGACTGCAGCTCTTTGGGGGAAGCAACAACAACAGGGCTGAGAATGGTTTATATAGGGTTCAGAAAGCATTGGTGGTGGTCCTTTCTTCAGCTGGACTTGGTATTTATTATCTAAACCATGCATAAAAATTATATAGCGTCTTTGATTCATGTAAAATAGCAATAAACTGGTTTTGGTGGGTAACTTAAATTCAGGTGTCATCCTAGACAAATTTCATCACCTGTCAACATTTTCTCCAGCACATTTCGGGGTGGGGGGTGGAGTTTGTCCCTTGCTGATTTACCTGTCTTCATATTTTTAGGAGATGCCAGTTAACTATGAGCAACCATTTTAACTGAAAAGGCAACCTTTCAGTTTAACACCCTACCACAGACTGCATTGCTACAGTCCCTGAAACATTACAAAGTTTTTTTTCTAGGGCATTTTTATGTACAGTGAGTATCCATTCATACTCCCTCTCCCCATGGCACACAGTCTCCCTGATTATTAACATTTTCACTAATGTGGTACATTTGTTATAACTGATGAACCAACACTGATATTATTAACTGAAATCTCTAGTTTATAGTGGGGTTTACTCTTTGTGTTGTACATTCTTTGGTTTGTTGACAAATGCACAATGCCATGCATCCGCCAGGCCAGTATCCTACAGAAGAGTTTCACTGCCCTAGAGACCTCCCGTGCTTCACCTCTTCATCCCTCCCCTACCTCCTCCACCATTCCCCAAACTCGTGACAACCACTCATCTTTTGACTGTCTCTGTAGTTGTGTCTTTTCCAGAATGTCAGAGAGTTGGGATCATGCTGTGTGTAGCCTCTTCGGACTGGCTTCTTTCACTCAGCAACATGCATTCAAGGTTCATATCTTTTTTATGGCCTGACAGCTCATTTCTTCTTATTGCCAAATAATGGAAAGGCTTCAGTGATTATCCTCATCATCACAGCTACATGCCAGGCATTATTCTAAGTGCTTCATACATATTAATTTAACACTTAAAACTTTATAAGGTAGGTACTACTAATATCCCCATTTTACAGGCGAAACAGACATTTTACAGAAGAAACAGAACAGAGAGCTTAAATAACTTGCCCGAAGTTATAGAGCTTAGAAATGGTGGAACAAGATTTGAACTCAGGCAGTCTGGCTCTAGAGTCCAGCCCTTAAGCACTATACTATATTGCTTCATGTAAAAATGTCTAAAAGAATTTCCAGTGCCTAATCTTGTTTTATCAACTCACACTCCCATACTCCCCACTCTGCCTACTTAAGGAGTTGTCATGCTTACTCTGTTAACAAATTTAGTTACCCAAACAGCAGAAACCTTTCTAATTAGCACATTATTCTGTACAATCAATAATTACCAAATACGGCTGAATAGAGGTAGCTCTTTTTGAGCCTTTGCTCTATGATAACCTCTGCAAAGTAATTTTCATATACATTATTTTACTTCATCCTTATGACATCCCTTTGAGGAGGTGCAATTATTATTTCTCAGGAAACTGAGGCTTAAGGAGCTTAAATAACTAGCTGAAGGTAATAGAGCTAATATAAGTGGTAGAAGTGGGCTTCGAACCCCACTGGAATTACTCCAAAGCCTGTGCTCTAAAAACTGTTGCCTTAGCTGCCTCTAAGAGTATCTTTTAGTTGACTGAGCTTTCCAAATTAACATGCCATTTCTACAATAAGCTGAAACATTTATGAAACAACTCAAAAGTGGGTCACCAAATTATCTTTATATAAGTGGGATGCTTGTAATGTTCGATGCTCTCTCTAACAAGTTCTCTTATCCCCAAGAATGGTATGTGTATGTGTAGGAATGTTATGGCTGCTTTGCTGTAATATGATACTCTTGAAAACACCAACTTTTTTGGAGGAGTGGTTAAGTCACCTGACGCATATTCTCTCAGAAGGATACCGAGACAGTTTTAAAAATGAGGCAGGCCTCCATATCTATGGAAGATCTTCAAGACGGAAGACAGCAATCTGTAGAGTAATATATACAGTTCCATGTATGTAAACAAGCCAAAACCTAGCTGGATGATCAAGTATGTAAAGAACAGAAAACTGCTGGTTCTACTCAAAACTCTTAGCAGTGGTTCTTTGGGGAGATAAATGGAATGGAGAGTGAGTGAAGGCTACTTCTACTTTTTAATCTATATACTTCCGTGTTGGAATTTATCCTACAGCAAGGAGGTATTCATGTAGTAGTTGTCTAAATTAAAAGATTTTAAAGGATCAAACACAAAATGATTATACATAGCCTGATTACAACAGTGTAGAAATGTACAAAGTCAAAATTAAGTTTTGAGAAAAAAATAGTTGGGGTTTTAACTTCATGGTCTCCCCCCCACCACCATCAGATAATGTGCTTTAATGTACAAATTAAACTGTTAAAAAATAAGTGAACAGAATCAGACCAAGGAAAATCTGCACGTCTATTTTATTTCCATTAGAAAAATATTATCTATTAAGATTGTGGTCCACTTCCTTCTCCTTTACCTCTACCATTCAAATTTCAGTACTTTAAGTTCACTCAAGTAAAAGCAGAATTATATAGCTGACAAGAGAACTATTTCACATCATTAAATTAAGAGGATTTAACTGAATTACAAGTGCTCTTAATTATTTATCAGGAATAGTAACAACTCCTCTCTCTTATGATTTATTTCCCTTTACTTTCATTTATTTGCGTAAGTATATAATGAGCGTCTCTTTCCCCACATCCAGGAACATGAGTGTGCGTGTGATTTATTACACCAGTAACTGGAGTTGTCATCTGATCCCCCACGCATGCTTAATTCCCCTTATTATATGGTATTTCCATAATGACCTCAAATGTTTAAGTCAATCATAAACTTTCCAACGTCGACTGTAAAAATTAAGATGTTAATTTGAAGACATTGTTAAAATTCCAGACTAAATAACGCCGGACCCACTTATAGCGACGCTGTTGTGAGAGGTCCTTGGACAGCGACTGCCTCAATCTCCACACGGCCTCCCTGCAAGGAAAATAACCAAGCAACGGTTAGGTAATTTTTTACGAATGAAGAGAGCTCTAGAATACCTACTAAAAAACATATACAACTGATAGCAATACAGCATTGTTAACATTACATTTTTCAAAGAAGGGAAGGATGGGGAAGCATTCACTGGCAGGCTCCCATGTCAGACACATTCAAGTGCATTAGCTCACAGGATTCTCTCGGCAGCTCTAGTGGGCAGCGTGCTCTCCTCAATCCAGAGAACGATATACATGGAAGCTTGGAGAGGTGGTTTTCACCTGTCCCAGGACACCGTGCTAAATGGCAGAGGTTCAAACCCATGTTTTGCAATTCCAAGTTCAGAGCTCCTTCCACTACACTAAATACCTTAGTTAAGTTTGAGAATACTGACCATTCCAAGTAACAACCGATTAAAACAATAAACATACCACTCATAGAAGATAAATTTTCTTTACAGAGAAGTCAGTAGGCTGCTTTTTTGTAGGCAGGAATACTGTGCTGCTAGAGGAGCTTCTCATCGCATTTGAATACCACAATATCAATGGTAAGAAAATATGTGGGCTACTGGTTTTGAGATTATTTTTCTAATGGAAGTCTGGATGTTTCATTAGGCAAGTGAAATTTTTTATTGCAGAGCTCACTACCCTGGCTCAGGGTATAGTCTCTAAGTATGTGAAAACAATACAGCTAGTATTTTACTTTTTCTTACAATTTAAGTCCCTGATTCTGTTGTGTTCATGTTCATGTGTGGCCTTGATTTCTAATTTTCTTAATATTTAAGACAAATTAAAAAAATTTCTGAAGTTTCTTAATCCCCCCTCCCCCCACCAGCATATAATATTGGGTATTTCCTTTTAGTCTTTAAGATCCTGGAAAGCAGAGATTATTTCTTTTTTTTTTCTTTAAAAAATTTCCTGCCAAAGTGCTTAGTTTGTTATACTCAGAAAACAACGTAGAAATTTACAATCGTGTACATTAGTCACTTTAAAGTGTACTTACTTTGGGCAAAGCAGCAACCTGGTAAGCAGCTCTTGCAGGAAAACTACCCTTGAAATCTAAATTTAAAAGAATTTCATTTTAGTTTTCAGACACTGTATTATGACTGCACAATCAAGACTCTGGTAAGTGCGTCACAGATCTGTCCATTCTTAGATATAAGCAACACTAAGAAAAGCTCACATTCATATTTGTTTGATAAAATATTTTACCATAGGATTCCTATGATATTGAATACTTTTTTAAAATGTCTTAGCTTTCTGGAAAAAAATGAAAATACATGCTTTTGAGACTTTGATCTTGTTTGATATGAATGGGGTTTTATGTTTAGAGCAATATTTATTGTGGTATGAACTCATTTAAGCATTCCAACAACCCTATAAAGCTTTATCCCCATTTTGCATGTGAGGAAACCAAGGCATAAAAATGTTAATTAACCAGCTAATGGTTCTGAGAGCCTGAACAGAGATGGTGTTGAGGCCGTATCACAGCAGTAAAAAATACAATCTCTGTGTTAAAAAAATTATTAGGAAGGCTTAAAAAACCTGAGAAGTGTACAATATTAAGCTTTAGGAAAATGAATTTGTAGGGTTGTAATATATTATCCTAGGGAGTACCACAGAAATGTCTTGGATCTTTTCATGGGGGTTCACTGTATGTTCTCAATCAGACTATTCTTTTAGGACAGGATCTATGGCCATTTCTTTAGCAGCTCCTATCACTCTTAATTCATAATGGATACTCAATAAGGTTAACAGATTCATTTCTTGTTAAAATGGAATACAGTAATAAAGCCAAATTACTTACACTGCTTATAGACTTCATTGACAGTGTTGAAGTCATTCATGTCAGCCAGCAAAACAGTTGTTTTTACCACTAGAAGACATATACGTTGTTATTAGGTTTAGCTGTTTGGTCTCACCCAAAATATTACTTAGAAAAACATATGGTTCTGTGACTGTCTTGATTAAAATGGGACTGAAATTAAAACAACTTTGAAAAGCAATGACAATATGGCATGATGTATTACTGGATGCTCAATGTTCTTCAAAAAGACCACAGAAACATCAGACAGAAATGTGAAGGCATATCAAGTTGCTCACCATTAGTGAAGTCACAGCTTGCAGCTTTCAGAATTTCACCCAAGTTTGTAAAAGCCTATGAAAAAAGGCAAGAAAGGCCTAAGGCACTGATGTTATAGTAAAGTTTTAATTCAACTCAATTAATCAATTGCTAATACCCGATTGAATAGCTTATGTTGCAGAAAAATTCTCCTTTTCTAGGAAATTCTACTCTTTCTAGACCACCTCTATACAAGTGAATTACTTCTTGGCTTTTGTTTAATGGAAATGAATCTTTTTGAAATATAGTGAGACCGTGTCTCCTTTTGTGAGTAAGAGACTGGACTGACGTCCCTTCTTCAGTGCTAGAGTGTGTGAAGTTCTTGGCTGACGTCCACTCAGCTGAAACAGAGAAAGCGCCTGGAGTTCCTAACTCTTTATCACTTGGAGGATAAGTATGAGCCAGTGAGCATTAAAATATGTTTTCTTTTAAAGCAATAACTGATTTTAAAGAGTACTTTTATCTTTTTCTCAAAAAATAGTATTAGTAAACTAGGTATATGCTTGACACTCTGGCCTTTGGGAAAACATCAGTTTTTACTCATTCCTTAACGTATTATTTTTTCAATTCATTATTCCTCTCCACTTTACTGGTCACATTATAATATTTGATATTTTTATGTCTAAAAAACAACTCACCTTCTAAATAGGTAACACATAGATATGGCAAAAAATTCAAAAGCTATAAAGATGCAAATACAGTGCAAAGATGTCTCCCACCTGGACTGCCCTTCCCCCCAGTTTCCTTCAGAGGGGACCACTGTTTCTGGTTCCTTCTATATCCTGTGGAGACAGCTGATGCTTATACCAGCATGAATATTCACCCCTGCACACGTGCACAAACACACGCGCGCACACACACACACACAGAGATGGTAGCGTACTGTGCAAGCTGTTCTGCATCTTGGTTTTACCACGTTAACAATTAATCTTGGGGGATTTTTCTGCATTAATTCAACTGTACGGCTCTAGCATGATTTATTTCACTAGTTCCTTATGGACAGACATTTAGGTTGTTTCTGACTTTGGATAATACAAATGACTTGGTGAATGCATAAAATTATAATTTAATTCTATTCATTGGATTAGAATTGTACTCCCCATTCTTATTTAAAAAAAAAAACCAAACATACTACACGTAATCTTCAATAGTTCTTACTAGCAAATGTTGACTTTTACTTTTGTGGTGTTTTTTTTTGCGGGTCAGTGGCCCTGATAAGAAATTTCCCAATCCAGGGACGCCTGGGTGGCTCAGTTGGTTAAGCATCTGCCTTCGGCTCAGGTCATATCCCAGAGTCCTGGGATTGAGTCCCGAGCCCCCTTCTCCCTCTGCCTGTCACTTACCCCTGCTTGTGCTCTTTCTCTGACAAATAAATAAAATCTTTAAAAAAAAAAAAAAGAAATTTTTCCAATCCATGTAGAAATGACAAGATGCTATCTGATTTCAATAATTTAATTGAGAGTTAAGTAATTTTATTGAGATAATGGACATCTAATATTGTATCAGTTTTAGGTACATAACATGACGATTTGATAATATGTATATACTGTAAACTGATTACCACAGTTTAGTGAATATCCAATAATTCAGGTTTGAAGTCACCTTGGAAGGTAGACTTTTTTTTTTTTGCTTGTTAAATGATTCCTCAAATTTTGAACTTTCTATTGACATAAAACTGTCTTAAATCAATCAGTAAGTAACTCTAAAAGCATTTATCTGATAATCTCTATAAAAAAATCAGCCAAGTAGATTCTTAATACCCCCCAGTATTAAAAAACAGTAAAGAAAGAAACTTCAAACGTGAAAAATGACTTACTTGTTTGGCTTCTTCTGCCACCCCTCCTGGCACAAGCTGTCCACTTGCAGGGTCCATGCCTAGCTGTCCTGAAATGTAAACGGTCCTGTCGACTAACACGGCTTGACTGCAATAAACAGAAATTCAGTGTATATAAAAGATATAAAATACAAAATTCAATGCTAAAAGATCTCTTTGCTAAGACACAAAAAGCACAAAATGTAAAATAAAAGAATTAATAATTGAATTTCATTCAAATTTAAAAACTTGCTTTTTGAAAGAGATCTTTAAGAAAATGAAAATATAGGTCACAGATTGGGATAAAATATTTGCAAAACATATATCTACAAAGAACTTGTATCCAGAATATATGAAAAACTCTTATAACTCAAAAAGAGGAAGATAAACAACCCAATAAAAAATGGGCAAGTGACTGAACAAGTATTTCATAAAAGAAGACATATGAAGAACTAGGGAGTACATGAAAGATGCTCAACATTACTCATTAGAAAAATGTAACGCAAAACCATAATAGATACCACTACACACAATAATATGTCACTAATAAGAGTAAGTATTGGTGAAGATGGGAAGCAACCAGAACCCTATACATTGTTGGTGGGAATGCAAAAACAGTACACACCTTGGAAAAGAGTTTGGCAAGTTTCTTAAAACCTTAAACATATGCTTAACATGCAACCCAGCGATTTCTTTCCTAGGAACTACCTAAAAGAAATGAAAATATATGTCCAAAGACCTTACATGAATGTTCAGAACAGCATTATTCATGACAGCAAAAAAACAAAACAAAACAAAAAATCCACTGCTAGATCCAACTAAAGACTACATATTATTTGATTCCACTTATATGAAATTCTAGAAAAGACAGAACAGAAGCAGAAAGTAGATTAGTGGCTTCCTGGGTCAGTGGTCATTGACCACAAATGTACAGTATGAGGGAATTTTTGGGGGGTGATGGAAATGTGCTAAAACTTGACTGTGGTGGCAGGTACACGGCTCTAGACATTTACAAAAATTCACGGTGGTCTACACTTAAAAATGGGTGAATTTTAATGTAACTCACACCTCAAAAGAGCTGTAAAATAACAGAAATGCAATGCCAAGAGCACTCTAAGAAAAGGAGTAATTATTCTCAGACAAGATTTCACCTGGGAGGTTACACCTCATTTCTGCAAAGTGCTTGCTGTTGGAAATGACTTGTAATGAGGATACTAAATTTCAGAATTAGGATAAAATCACAAGAAACAGAATAAGCTATGCACATAGAGACCTGAAAAAGAGCCAAGCAAATCAACTCAATTTTTTTTTTTTTTACTTTTTGGATAAAGAAAACCCCTCTGTCTCTCTTTTTAATTGTGGTTAAATACATTTACCATTTTAACCATTTTTAGGTACACAATTCAGTGGCAGTAAGTGCCACCATTTTTAAAATGTTGATAAAGAAACCTTAGTAGCAGTTTAAGTTCAGAAGTAAAATTTGTTTTACCATTTCCATGCTTATTTAGAAACAGCATCTTCTCATTTCTAATTTTACATTTCTAATACTACATTCTCATTTCTAATCTTCTAGTTCCCTATAGTGTTTTCCAACATGCTCTAAGCTTTCCTTTTATTTCATGATGTTTCCCCTGATTTTCCTGACCATATTTTTTCTTTATAATTTAAACTATGGCATAAATATATATATATTTTTTAGGTAAGCTCTGTGCTTGAACTCATGACCCTGAGATCAAGAGTCACATGCCCTACTGACCGAGCCAGCCAGGTGCCCCTATAATTTTTTCTTAATAATTTTTTGAATAAGAGAACATTCACATGGTTAAAAAATCTAGACACTATCCAAAGAATCTCAGTGAAAAATCTCTTCCCTTCTTTCCTTATTTTCCTTCTGCTCCATTTCCAGTCCCTAGAGATAACCAATGGTTTTCTTTACATATTCTTCCAAAGTTTTTTCATGCATATATGAATAAAAATGAATATATTATCTTCTGCCTGTTTTATACAACATGTAGTATACTAAACATCTTTTTTTTTTATACAACACGTAGTATATTAAACACTCCTCTACATTTTGCTTTTTTCACTCAACAATATATCCTGATCTTCCCATAACTGTATGCAGGATGCATCCTTATTCTTTTAACAGTTGTGTGGTATTTCACTGCATGGACATACTTTAACTAGTTACCTTTGATTCCAGTATTTTGTTATTGTAAACAAAACTACACCGAAAACCATCACACAGTTTTCCCTGGGCAAGTAACTAAGCCTTTTTTTCATCTGAACCTCAGAGGAGCTTTTCCCACACCATGTACAGGATCCTGCCTCACATCATAGCTCAGTCTGTTCTCATACTGTCTCTGGGGTGTGCCGGACTGTAAACTCCCTGAACACAGGAGCTGTGTCTTAGTGTCTCCAGCTGCACAGGGCTGAGGTGACTTTTTGCACATAGGGGGCACACAATAACTTCTTTTTGATGTTTTGCTCTCTAAAGGCTTACTAGCTTAAATGATTGGCTGTCAGTAAAGAATCTTTTTAGCAGGGCCTACTGGCTTATTGTGTGGGCTTTGGAGAGTGGAACAGGGCAGATTTAAACTTGGTAATAGGATTTAGAAAGTCTAGAAATTCTTCTCAACTATCTGGCTTTCACCCTAGCCCAGAAACAGGTAACTATTGAGTTTGTTAATGTGTAAGCTTTCCTCAGGTTGAAAAGCATCATCAGCTAACAAGGTTTCTTATTAACTGTCCTGTGTAGAACTAGGCTACCCTGGGCCCTTTGCAAAGTAACTTTAGCTCTCTCCATACATGAAACATAGTTTAAGCCCATATGTATTACCATTGGTCAAAAAATTTGTGATAGTAAAAAGGTATTCATTTATTCTCCGAAAATTAACAGACATCTAAGACTATCTGACCTATGTGAGTTATCTCTTATAGATTAGTAAAGAGATTGTTCACAAAGATAATAGTTGACCCTTCCTGATTACGGCATCCTACTATCCAGACAAGTCATTAGCCTCCAGAAAATTTAAAAGTGTACTGTTTTATTTCCAGGTCAAAGGGCAATAACACTTTCAAAAGCATCTTAGTAATAATTCTCATGTTGTAATCTATGCCACATGGACTATCACTTCCAAATTTCATGACTATTTGGGTAGTGTGCTAGCAAAATGAAAAGCAATGCAATATCATGATGTTGAAATCTCTCGAGGTTCTGTCCTGAGGTATTCCTGAAATGTGCTAAGCTGATTAGCTAATTGGTGACAACACCCCATCCATCAAAATGCCAGGGACTGAAAGTTAAACACATTTGAATTCATCCTGGAGGAGACCCAGAATTTTCAAAAACTGTGCTCACTACAAACTCCATGCACAAAAATTGGTTTCCAAATGGTTCTTCAAACATATCCCATTAACTTTATCAGGATATGACTAGTTAGTTGGAGTGTGGTTTTCTTCAAGATAAAATATTAAAAATTAGCACCATTTTTAGTGGCCTTGTATGATCTCTGGATACAAAGAAGCACAAGAGGACAATGTCCTAGAAAGTCTCCACACAGTGAAGCTGGTTGATGTTTTGTCTTTTTATTATATTGGTATATTCATTTGATTTCCTTCTTTTTTTCTTGCAGCTTTATAAAGACAGTTGATTCCGAGTCACCCAGGAATATTACTGTCACACTTGCTTTCTTGAACAAAGTACACACTTGAGGAAGGTGTGTGCTCTAGGGTCTATAATCACTTTGTGTTTGTTTCTGGTAAGGGCTGCTTTTGCTCTGAAGTAAAACCACTGAGTGACTGAGGAGGAGGGATCAGGGCAGAGGAGGAAAAAGATTACTGATTTTTACTTTTATTGTAATACCCCCTTAACTATTCTTAATGTCTTCCCCAAATAATTATCAGAGTACTCTTAAAAGAAATCTGATCATGTCACTTCCTCTTCAAAAACATTTGAAGACTCCTCAGTGAATACAAAACAAAGTTTATACTCTCCAGTTTAGATAGTTGGGAACGATCACAATCTAGACTTTGCTAAAACCTAATTTTTAGCAACAGGCAAAACAGCAATTCAGATTCAAAGTCCAACTCTGAAAACCAGTGTTTCCCAAAGTGTAGGTCACATGCAAACTGAATCACAGTAAGGAAAGGACTCCTTTTTCAATTCTCTTTGAGTTTTTCCATGGCAGGAGACAGCAAACTAATGATGAAGATTGAGCTCTAGAGCTCTGCCTAAGTTCAAATTCTGTCACATCCCGTCTTGGTGGTTGACCTTGAGCAAATTATTTAACCACACATATATCAATTTCACCATCTGAAAAATAAGTGCTGTCATAATAACTGTGTACATAAAGCACTAAGGCACCTAGAACAGTGCCTTGTGCTGAGTGAGCATCAATAAATGTTAGCAGTTATGACATCGATCCTCTCATTACATGAAGGAGAAAAGATACCAATTTTAGAAAACAAAGAAATTATCACTTTTAACAAAGAGAGCTGGCCTTGTGTTCTGAGCCAACTGTAGCAGCTTCCTAGGATTTAATTATACTTTTTATTTAATTGAGCTTATTTTTTTACTGTTACCTTCTACTGGTTTGTCTTCTATTTAGAGTACTCCTGTAAAATTTCGTTTTTAAATTTGTTAAAGGGAGCCTGCTTAAATAAAAGTGTTAAGTAAATAATGATACAGGTGGTACACAGATTTGGCAAATGAAAAAAAAAAGTCGTAGTTGGATTACCAAAACTTCCTCCAAAAAATCTTTATGCCATGTATTCTTCCACAATTATGCCTCAAGTCATTCCCTCTGACTTCCTGCTTAATTCCTTAACAAAGTAATTTAAAAATCACTTTATAACAGTACTATACAGATGGCAAACACAATCTTCAAAACCCAGCTCAAGGACTACCGCTTGCAGGAGCCCTCCTAGATCTTTTTCTTCCTCTGTCCCAAGTTACATCAATTTGTTTCTTCTCCTCTTTTGCCATCCCTCACCCCCCTGACCCTTTACTCCTACTGCATTTTGTTTCTAACCCCGCAATGGTAATTATTGTTCTGCATCTGTGTTATTTTTCATGGCAATGTGGTACAGAGGAGGGAGCTAGGGCCTGTTCAAATCAAGCTCTGCCACTTATGGACGGTCTGACCTTGGACAAGTTCACTTTCAGCTTGAGTCTTCCTTTTGTAAAATGAGGATGGGACTTAGAGAAGAAGGTTAGTTGTCATGGTGCCTGCCATACAGCATGCACGAAATGAAAATGTTTCTTTTTCTTTCCCCCACATGCCTGAATGTCTTTCACACTGCTTTAATTCTTACACGTTTTTTGTAGCCTCTGCAGTGCTTGGCATATAGTAGGTACTCAATATATGTCTATCATAGTTGAAGTGTTTCAGTTGTAGTTTTCCACTTGTGGTTATTTTAATAGTAAACAGATACTATATTTTAAAAAGGGAAAATGAGAAAAGGTTTACATGGTATACTTTAGTGAAGAATTTAAAATAACAAAAATTATATTAAGGGAAAAAAGTCTCCAAGAATGCATAGGGTAAGATCTAATAGTTTTAAAGCTGAGACATTTTAAGAAAAAAAAAAAAAGGATTTTTAAAAAAGAAATTAACCTTTTTATATTTGCAGCACTTCTGACAAGTGGAAATGCATGTACACAGGGTAGACTTTCTGGCCGGTATACATATATTTAGCTAGAGCATGTTGAGGCCATCTTAGCAAATGATTTTTGTTGATTTGTATTTGACTTTATTAGTGGGAAATGAGCATGGGCAATGAATTCATAAACATCCCAATGCATTTCTATGTGGACTGTAAAAATCAGTGCCTTGGATAGATGAGCATCTATTTGCTAAGCATTTCTGTGAAAAGAATTCAGCTCTCTCCAGATGGACACCCAAATCTGTTCACGGAATTTACTCCTTTGAATTAAGAGAGGGTTAGACCAAACATTATGCTAAAATGGAAGAAGTCAGTCACAAAGGACCACATATTGTAGGATTCCATTTACAGAAGTCCAGAACAGGCAAATCCACAGAAACTGAAAATAGATTAGTGGTTGCCAGGGGTTAGGGGAAAAGAATGGGGAATGACTGCTAATGGGTATGGGATTTCTTTTGGAGGTGATTAAACTATTCTGAGATTATATAGTGGTGATGGCTGCCCTATTTTGTGAGTATAATAAAAAAAAAAATCACTGAGTTGTACACTTTAAAGGGGTGAATTTTATGGGTGTGTGAAATACCTTGATAAAATGGTTACCAAAAAGAATACAAAACCTGACCCCTTACATCCGGCGAAGCGCTCTGGCCCTCCAGGTCCGGGGCAGAGTCCCTGGGAGCACAGACTCACATTCTTTGGGTCTCCGGGTGCTTTGACCCTTTCCCGGGGTGTTTCCCGAGTTCAGCGAGTTTGAGCAGGTTGGACCGGATGAAGCCCGAGGCCCGCCCCAGCTCTGACCCGGAGTGGCTGGAGCTCCGGACCCCCGATCTCACACGCCCAGCGTCCGTCCGCGCTCCCCCAAGCCTCGTTACCTGTAGGGACCAATGGCCCCTGGGGCTTTCGCAGTGCTGATCACCTTTCTGATCAGAGACGCCATGGCTAACCCTTTTATCTTGCTGCCGCTCCAAGAGAAGAATCCCGTACACCGCCTCTGTTAGCGTCTCACCAGACTAACCAGCCCAGGGGTCCAGTCCCGGGAGTAACTCTTCTCCCGGAGCGAGTTTGCTCGGCATTCTGGGAGTTGTAGTCTCAGCCAGGTTCCCGGCCACGTGGAGGCCGCGACTGCGCTGGCGCATGCGCCATTGCTCGCCGCACACGTCTCCACGGAGAGGGCTGTTGCAGAGCCTTGTCATTCTGACCCGGGGAGCCCTGGATTCCTCCCTCAGAGCCTCTGGCAGGTAGGTCGTGAGGGGCTGGTTTCCCCCAGGGTCCGCGAGTTAGGGGGGAGTATGTGACGGCCCCGCGCCGGCCCTCCGGCCCGGCTCTCCTCTCAGTCTTTCGTGGCTCAGACCCCGCTGACCTCCTCTTCCCTGGCAGCCTGCGCCTGGGCCCCGCTTGCCGCCCCGCGCCTCCTTCGGCCCCTGAGTTCGAGCCCCCTGCGTTTGTCATTTCCCCGTATTGTCCCGCCGGGCGGATGCCTTCCTCGGAATGGGCTTGCGCCCCCGTCCTGCCAGGCACTCTGAAGGAATGAGTTGGGTCATTAAGGGGACCACGCTGAGATCTGGGCGTCGTCCACCTTCCGCCCCTCCCATGTTCCCATTCATGAGTGCTCCTCCGGCTTCACAAGGTCTCTACGCATTCCCCTTAGGTCTGAACCGAGCCCTGGTGACTGGGATCTGATTTCAAAAGGGAAGATAGAAGATAGGCTGGTCTCTTGGCAGATAGTCATGCCGTGTCAGAAGGAGTGGTACTTGGCCAAATATTTCTCATTCTGTAAATAAATGTATTATAAGCACGCTTCACTCCATTTATGCTTGCAGTTTACATTCAACAAATATATGTTGAGCCCTATTTTGTGCAAGGCACATTGCTAGGTGCTGGAGGGACAACTGTGAAAAAGGTAAGATTCCTGCCCTGCCCTGCTTCTAAAACGTAATGTGAGAAGATCCTCGTCATTCCTTCTCATTTGTCCTACATGCTGGAAAGGTTTGGTTTTCCTACTTTCTGCTCAAGAGCCTTTAGAGCTTTTTCATTGGTTTGGGGCTTCAAGCATGTAATAAAATAGAACTTCCAGTCTGGTTTCCCTGGCCTACTCAGTTTTATGCCCTCCTACTGTCTCATCCCACTCAAGTCATCCAGAGTCTCACTCCTGACATCACACAGAAGATTCCTGAGTACTCTTTCTTCACTATCCAAATTCCAAACAACTGAAATTCTATTTTCTCATTGGCTTTCCCTGTGGATCCACATTTTCCCTTCTTACTCAGCGTCCTATTGTGCTATACTGCAAAATTTAGTCTTTTAATGTGTGTAGTCTTGTTCTCTAATTGTTTTGTGTCTTAAAAATAGTGAATAGAGGCAGACTGCCTGGTTTGGCTCCCAGCACACTTACAATCTTATTGGCCTTAGTCAGGTTATGTTACCTCTCTGTGCTTCAGTTTCTTCATTTATAAAATGGGGGTAGTACTAGTACCTCCCTCATAGAATCTTTGAGAATCGAATGAGTAAGGCGTGTAGACTAATGCTTGACACGTAAAGTTCTCCATAAACGTTAGCTGTTTAAGACAACCAAATTCTTTCAGGAAGGAGGCCACAACCTTATGCTGCTTTTGTATACACACAGCCTAAAACTAATGAGCAAGAATAGATAGCCAAAATGTTGTTAAATTTGATTAAACTGGACAATTAGGGGATGCTTTTTATTACAAAATAATTCACCATGTGATTCTTTAAATAAGGAGCTCTCGGGGCATTACAAGTAATTTAACTTGTGTAAAATGTTTCTTGTGAAACAAGATACCTGTATTCTTTTTTAATAAGATTTTATTTATTTACTTATTTATTTATTTGAGAGAGAGGGAGAGAGCGAGCGTGTATGTAAGTGGGGGGTGGAGCAGAGGGAGAGGGAAAAGCAGACTCCGCACTGAGCATGGAGCCAGGTGAGGGACTTCATCCCACATCATGACCTGAGCTGAAACCGAGTCGGACACTTAACCAACTAAGCCATCTAGTTGCCCCAAGACACCGGTATTCTTAAGGTAGGTTTTATATCAAGTCTAAATCACCAACTTTTTAGATCTGGAAGAAATCAGAGATCATCTGGTTAATTCCCAGGTTGTCAAACTGGAGTCCATTTTAAAGGGTGAAATGGTCAACCAGGTGATAGTAAGCTGTGTGAGAAAACATATGTCCAATTTATTTGAAGATTTTGGGGAAAACAGTTTTATAAAGCCTGGCACATATTTAGTGCTTGTTAAAGCTAAATGAGTAAATGTGGAAACACAAAAACTGAATAATATACTGAAACTCACCCAGTTGTTCAGGTAAGAGTTAAGATTGCTTCTGGAAGCTATTTTTAAGCAAAATCCTCAGACCTCATAAGAATATAGTCTATATTCATTCTCTTCTGGTGTTAGAACTGTTTGAGGACCACCACTAGTTCAGTATGCTAAGTTTTTAGTCTGGTATCAAAGCTTACCCCAATCCCCGAGTCCCAGCCTGCTCCTGGCCTATTCTAGTGCTGAGTAGACCAGGGTTCCCAGGTCGTGCTCTGTCTTGCTGGGTAAGTTCTGATTCAAGCAGATAATAGTAGGTGAACTAAATTGTTCTGTAAAATCATTCTGAATGGTTCTTAATGCAGACTGATCTGAACCATGTCATTCACTAGCTGACTAGTTCTACAGAACTTCATTTACTTCATGTGTATATGTATATGTATATATATATAATTTTTATTTTATTTTATTTTTTGTAGTGCAAAATGGTGGTTTTATTAAACAAGGGGACAGGACCCATGGGCAGAAAGGACTGCTGCCCCCCACCCCCAATCCCCCCCCACCCCCACAACCCCCCCATATATTTTTTAAATTTAAAAAAGTGGTTTTGGGTGTACATGTAGTTGTCTTTCATTTAGGTGAAAGCAGAATGGAATGAGAAGGTGAAATGACATAATCTCTGTTATTTCAGTCTGCCTACTCTGGCCTGCTCAGTTTTATCTTCTCCTCTCTCTTCTCACTCTGTTTGAGAATAATAGCAATTTAAATGAAGCCCTTAGATTTTGCAAAGTGCCATGCTCAGTATATTATGTACATTACTTTATTCTCACAGCAACCTTGTGATGATTCCCATTTATAGAGGGGACTGAGGCTCAAAGAGGAAAAGTAACTTTCCTACGATTATGTAACTAAAAAGTGTTAAGGAAGGTATTTGACCCAGATCTGTCTAACTCCGAAGGAAGGGTTCTTAAATACTACACAGCACTGGTTACTCTTAATTTTGAATGAAGCCCTGCATTGGGAAAGAGGTAAGTGAATGGGTGGTAGTTAATTCAGTGGCATTCAGTAGGAGTGGTGCGATTCTTGATGTGGCAGTCTGTTAGTTTGTGCAGGTGTTTTTGGTTGGCATAATGAGTGGGTAACACTGCTGGCATTTATCAGGCAGGGCCCAGGGATGTTAGACATGCTGGAGTGTGTAGGAAAGTCCCACAGTAGCCTAATACCTGTTTTACATAAAAGCACAAAGGATCAGTTACATGGTTTTAATATACACTGCATTTTCCAAGAATGCAATAAGTCAAAACAAGACTATCCTCCCTACCCCTCCCCTCCTTTTGCTACTTTACCAAGGGGTGTTCACTAGTTTGGAAAACTGTGTCACCAGTGGCATTGCTGCCTTCTCTTTGAGGCACAGTACAACCCGCTGTATTACTGTACCTTTGTTGCATTCGTGGTAATTCTCTGTATAGGTACCAGGAAAGACTAGTATAAAAATACTGAAATGCTTTGGGAATGGCTTGGCTCTGCTACTCTGAGCTGCTCTCCTTTGCACAGGATTCTTCAGATTTCCCTATAGTCAGTAAGAACAGAGTTAATGCCTATGGCATGGGGGCTTCCAGGCTTCTTTTCCAGCTTGACAGATTGTACCCGTGCTTGTACTGGTGCTTATGTTGTGCTGATTATACCCGAGTTCAGAATACCTCCCTGTTATATAACGTCACCCAGGAGTGGTGAAATACTTACATACAGAAAGTACACATTATTTTGTTATTTAGTTCTCCTTTATGGTATAGTCAGGGCCATATTATAGGATATATACTGGTAAAAGTTATGTGTCTAGTAGGTTATGTTATTAATGAATTTCATTTCAAAATAGAAAACGTGTTTCAAACCATTCAGAAAAAAGGGGGAAGGGACGCCTGGGTGGCTCAGTCAGTTAAGTGTTTGACTCTTGATTTCAGCTCAGGTTATGATCTTGGTCTTGAGATGGAGCTCCTCATCAGACTCCACACTCAGGGAGTCTGCCCAAGACTCTCTCCCTCTCTCTCTGCCTGTTCCCCACTACTCTTTCTCTCTCTCAAATAAATAAATCTAAAAAAAGAAAAAGAAAAAGGGGGTTGTTGAGTTTGAGAGTTGCAAACTACTGAGTAAAGCCATCAGGCTCCCCGAGGGTTTTGTCCTTTATCCTTATTTTAAAGTGCAATCTTTTGGCTGTTACATATTAAAGGTACAGGGGCTCCTGGGTGGCTCAGTTGTTAGGCGTCTGCCTTCGGCTCAGGTCATGATCCCAGGGTCCTGGGATCAAGCCCCGCATTGGGCTCCCTGCTCAGCGGGAAGCCTGCTTCTCCCTCTCCTACTCCGCCTGCTTGCGTTCCCTCTCGCTGTCTCTCTCTGTCAAATGAATAAATAAAATCTTTAAAAAAATAAATAAAGGTACAGCTGGCCTCATCTCTGTGGCAGAAATGAAAGCATCAGTAATTTATGTTCAGTTTTTGTAGAGGGTATCATATCAGAATAGTGTGTATTGTATTTCATTGATTCAGGTGGCTCTTGTTTCACCTAAGAATTTTTGCTGTGGCAGAGGGTTCTTATCTCATACCTCATTATTCATTCTTTGAGTGGACTTTATGCTGTGTCAACATTGGGATATGATTGAATTTTCTGATGATGCAATCTGAAATATACTAATAATGGTCTCTTTGATCAATAGAATTATTTTTCTCCTATTGAATTGGGTTTTTGGTGTTAATACCATTCATGGCTCCCCTAGAGATGCCTCT